ACGCCTCAAATGCCTCAAGCAAGCACCAGGAGCGAAGACGCAGATCTTCTGCCTGGAGAGTTGCACTTCGCTCCATATCATATGCAGTTTGACGTTGCCATATCTCAATTGGTTCTGGTGTTGCCTTTAATTAAAACAAACTATAGTGACATCTTTGGATATCTTTGGAACCTATAGCTGACAATGAGAGTTGTGGTGAAGGCCCGCGCCTTCCATCACCATAGAGCTGGCTGCATGGAGCATGTCCACAGCTATACAGCTAAATGTTGATAGCTATTTGCATCATTGCTTGACAAATGCTTGCAAACAGCCAACTTCATCTAGCTTCATCCAACTTCATGACTCGATCCCGCTTTGGAGCAAAGAAAATTGCAGAGGTGTGCGCTCAGCTGTTTTTGAACGCTTTCGCACGCTTTTGCACGAGATCCCTTTAAATATCTTTAAATGCTCGCTTCTTGGATTTTATATACGAAAGGCAATTGATCAAAAAATTTTGTATCAAAGGGAGGTCCAGGGAAGTACAGTAGGTTCAAACAGTTTGATGCCTGCCAATTGCAGGCACAAATTGCCCAATTGGCTCAATGAATCCAATGAACTGAAATGCAATATAAGTTACATGACAACATGACCTCAAAGAGCATGCTTCGAACAATTTCAAGCAGTTGTCTTGGGGGCCCAAACAATCATAGCCCCTAGCCATAGCCCCCAAGCTTCTAACATCTTCTGAATAGGAACCAAACGAAGACCCCCTACTCTACTCACTGGTGCTGCACCCAGCGGCGCATTCGAAGGCGCACCAGCTGCGCGCCAAGGCGGGAGCCGGGTTCTTGAGGTCGGTCGAATTGAGCACCAGCAGCAGGCGGAAGTGGGCCGCCTGCACTCACCAAGAGATCGGTCAAAGGGCGAGCACGAGGCCAGGCACGAGAGGCACGAGGGGCACGTGAGGGAGATACTGCAAATGTGAGGGAGATATGGGGTGGAGATACTGCAAAAACAGTATGCGGAGTGTGGATTTGGTCAAGGCCTCTTAGATGCTTTGTTGGAGTCAGGATGAGTAGGTCTAGGGTCGAGTCTAGGGCAGTTGAGTTGACCGTCATGACAGCTCTGGATCCGAAGTTTGGACGTCCATCCGACCTGGAAAACCAAACAACCAGAAAAATCATTCCCATATACTCTATGTCTGCCATATATGCCTATATTGGTCCCAAAAGCCACCCCAACTGATTTGGCCTATATGGCATACACATGGAGAGTATGGGATTGGCTGTTCCAGTATGTAACTGAAGTCCTTTACATCGGAAGCGGCGTTTCCCGTGCCGGGGCCTAAGGCCTGGGCCTAAGGCGGCCCGGATAAGCCCCGGCCGGAGACGTTTCTGGTGGACCAGGAATCGATGTTTTGGGACAAAGAATGGTGGGAATCTGCAGGAGGTGTCACCTGAACATACCTGTCACCTCTTTTCACACATTGGGGTCTGATTGAGAGGACCAATAGCACAGACCCCAAGTTCGGTGCAATGATGGACGTCCATCCGTCCACACATTGGGGTCTATGCCAACGAAGGATTTGGAACGAAGCGTGTCCACGCACAGCAGCACTGCTTCCGACTTGGACTCAATCGCATATTCGACGAAGTCCATCCTCCAGTGAAGTGAAGCGTTTCCTCCAGTGAAGTGAAGCGTTTCCTCCAGTGAAGTGAAGCGTTTCCTCC